TCACTAACTGTAAGTCGCTCTGGATAAGAGCGTCTGCTAAATGACTAAAATGTAAATGTAGTGTATATATATATATATATATATATATATATATATATATATATATATATATATATATATATATATACTGCTCAAAAAAATAAAGGGAACACTAAAATAACACATCCTAGATCTGAATGAATGAAATAATCTTATTAAATACTTTTTTCTTTACATAGTTGAATGTGCTGACAACAAAATCACACAAAAATTATCAATGGAAATCAAATGTATCAACCCATGAAGGTCTGGATTTGGAGTCACCCTCAAAATTAAAGTGGAAAACCACATACAGGCTGATCCAACTTTGATGTAATGTCCTTAAAACAAGTCAAAATGAGGCTCAGTAGTGTGTGTGGCCTCCACGTGCCTGTATGACCTCCCTACAACGCCTGGGCATGCTCCTGATGAGGTGGCGGATGGTCTCCTGAGGGATCTCCTCCCAGACCTGGACTAAAGCATCCGCCAACTCCTGGACAGTCTGTGGTGCAACGTGGCGTTGGTGGATGGAGCGAGACATGATGTCCCAGATGTGCTCAATTGGATTCAGGTCTGGGGAACGGGCGAGCCAGTCCATAGCATCAATGCCTTCCTCTTGCAGGAACTGCTGACACACTCCAGCCACATGAGGTCTAGCATTGTCTTGCATTAGGAGGAACCCAGGGCCAACCGCACCAACATATGGTCTCACAAGGGGTCTGAGGATCTCATCTCGGTACCTAATGGCAGTCAGACTACCTCTGGCGAGCACATGGAGGGCTGTGCGGCCCCCCAAAGAAATGCCACCCCACACCATGACTGACCCACCGCCAAACCGGTCATGCTGGAGGATGTTGCAGGCAGCAGAACGTTCTCCACGGCGTCTCCAGACTATGTCACGTCTGTCACATGTGCTCAGTGTGAACCTGCTTTCATCTGTGAAGAGCACAGGGCGCCAGTGGCGAATTTGCCAATCTTGGTGTTCTCTGGCAAATGCCAAACGTCCTGCACGGTGTTGGGCTGTAAGCACAACCCCCGCCTGTGGACGTCGGGCCCTCATACCACCCTCATGGAGTCTGTTTCTGATCGTTTGAGCAGACACATGCACATTTGTGGCCTGCTGGAGGTCATTTTGCAGGGCTCTGGCAGTGCTCCTCCTGCTCCCCCTTGCACAAAGGCGGAGGTAGCAGTCCTGCTGCTGGGTTGTTGCCCTCCTACGGCCTCCTCCATGTCTCCTGATGTACTGGCCTGTCTCCTGGTAGCGCCTCCATGCTCTGGACACTACGCTGACAGACACAGCAAACCTTCTTGCCACAGCTCGCATTGATGTGCCATCCTGGATGAGCTGCACTATCTGAGCCACTTGTGTGGGTGGTAGACTACGTCTCATGCTACCACTAGAGTGAAAGCACCGCCAGCATTCAAAAGTGACCAAAACATCAGCCAAGAAGCATAGGAACTGAGAAGTGGTCTGTGGTCACCACCTGCAAAACCAGTCCTTTATTGGGGGTGTCTTGCTAATTGCCTATAATTTCCACCTGTTGTCTATTCCATTTGTACAACAGCATGTGAAATTTATTGTCAATCAGTGTTGCTTCCTAAGTGGACAGTTTGATTTCACAGAAGTGTGATTGAGTTACATTGTGTTGTTTCAGTGTTCCCTTTATTTTGTTGAGCAGTGTTTATATATATATATATATATATATATATATATATATATATATACAGTGGGGGAAAAAAGTATTTAGTCAGCCACCAATTGTGCAAGTTTTCCCACTTAAAAAGATGAGAGAGGCCTGTAATTTTCATCATAGGTACACGTCAACTATGACAGACAAATTGAGGAAAATAAATTTAAAAAATCACATTGTAGGATTTTTAATGAATTTATTTGCAAATTATGGTGGAAAATAAGTATTTGGTCACCTACAAACAAGCAAGATTTCTGGCTCTCACAGACCTGTAACTTCTTCTTTAAGAGGCTCCTCTGTCCTCCACTCGTTACCTGTATTAATGGCACCTGTTTGAACTTGTTATCAGTATAAAAGACACCTGTCCACAACCTCAAACAGTCACACTCCAAACTCCACTATGGCCAAGACCAAAGAGCTGTCAAAGGACACCAGAAACAAAATTGTAGACCTGCACCAGGCTGGGAAGACTGAATCTGCAATAGATAAGCAGCTTGGTTTGAAGAAATCAGGACGACTGATCCGTGTAAAGGAAAGAATGAATGGGGCCATGTATCGTGAGATTTTGAGTGAAAACCTCCTTCCATCAGCAAGGGCATTGAAGATGAAATGTGGCTGGGTCTTTCAGCATGACAATGATCCCAAACACACCGCCCGGGCAACGAAGGAGTGGCTTCGTAAGAAGCATTTCAAGGTCTCCAGATCTCAACCCCATAGAAAATCTTTGGAGGGAGTTGAAAGTCTGTGTTGCCCAGCGACAGCCCCAAAACATCACTGCTCTAGAGGAGATCTGCATGGAGGAATGGGCCAAAATACCAGCAACAGTGTGTGAAAACCTTGTGCAGACTTACAGAAAACGTTTGACCTGTGTCATTGCCAACAAAGGGTATATAACAAAGTATTGAGAAACTTTTGTTATTGACCAAATACTTATTTTCCACCATCATTTGCAAATAAATTCATTAAAAATCCTACAATGTGATTTTCTTGATTTTTTTTCTTCTCATTTTGTCTGTCATAGTTGACGTGTACCTATGATGAAAATTACAGGCCTCTCTCATCTTTTTAAGTGGGAGAACTTGCACAATTGGTGGCTGACTAAATACTTTTTCCCCCCACTGTGTATATATATATATATATATATATATATATTTAAACATGCAATTACAGCAATACTATTTTGCAATGATTAAGTATAGATTGTAATTAGTAACCTAAGTTATATTTGTTTTATAGTCATGGAATAGCAATGGGAGCATTTATAAATAGGAGCTTTTATCTTGAAGGATTTGTATTTACATAACCCAGAAGTATTTTGAAGACGTCACTAATGCTGCCAACTTACCCTGTCAGACAAGCTGCATTGACAACCTGTAGGCCAAGGGATCACAAAAGTAGACAAAGTTTTAGGTTTTCAGTTATAGCGTTACAGGGTGAGATACAGGATATGGGTTGCATTTCAATTGAGATGATTAAGTAAATTACTGCAATACCTGTTTGTGCATTCATTTAATTGATATAGGCTTATACTTCTGTGGCTGTTAAATAGACACTGAATAAAAATATCAACGCAACATGCAACAATTTCAAAGATTTTACTGAGTTACAGTTCATATAAGGAAATCAGTAAATTCAAATAAATTCATTAGGCCCTAATTTATGGATTTCACATGACTGACAATACAGATATGCATCTGTTGGTCAAAGATACCTTAAAAAAAAGTAAGGGGATGGATCAGAAAACCAGTCAGTGTCTGGTGAGACCACCATTTGCCTCATGCAGTGCTACACATGTCCTTCGCATAGAGTTGATCAGGCTGTTGAGTGTGGCCTGTGGAATGTTGTCCCACTCCTCTTCAATGGCTGTGCGAAGTTGCTGGAGATTGGCGGGAACTGGAACACCCTTTCTTACACGTCGATCCAGAGCATTCCAAACAGCTCAATGGGTGACATGTCTGGTGAGTATGTAGGCCATGGAAGAATTGGGACATTTTCAGCATCCAGGAATTGTGTACAGATCCTTGAAACATGGGGCCATGCATTATCATGCTGAAACATGAGGTGAAGGCGGCGGATGAATGGCACAACAATGGGCCTCAGGATCTCATCAAAGTATCTCTGTGCATTCAAATTGCCATCGATAAAATGTAATTGTGTTCATTGTACATAGCTTATGCCTGCCCATACCATAACCCCACCGCCACCATGGGGCACTCTGTTCACAACGTTGACATCAGCAAACTGCTCGCCCACACGACGCCATACACGATGTCTGCCATCTGCCTGGTACAGTTGAAACCCGGTATTCATCAGTGAAGAGCACACTTCTTCAGCGTGCCAGTGGCCATCAAAGTTGAGCATTTGCCCACTGAAGTCGGTTACGACGCCGAACAGCAGTCAGGTCTATGCCCTGGTGAGGACGACGAGCACGCAGATGAGCTTCGGTTGCATGTACTGCCAAATTCTCTATAACGATATTGGAGACGGATTATGGTAGAGAAATGAACATTCAATTATCTGGAAACATCTCTGGTGGACATTCCTGCAGTCAGCATGCCAATTGCAAGCTCCCTCAAAACTCGAGACATCTGTGGTATTGTGTTGTGTGACAAAACTGCACATTCTAGAGTGGCCTTTTATTGTCCCCAGCACAAGGTGCACCTGTGTAATGATCATGCTGTTTAATCAGCTTCTTGATATGCCACACCTGTCAGGTGGATGGATTATCTTGGCAAATGATAAATGCTCACTAACAGGGATGTAAACAAATGTGTGCACAAAATTTTAGATAAATAAGCTTTTTGTGTATAGGGAACATTTCTGGGGACTTTTATTACAGCTCATAAAACATGGGACCAACATTTTACATGTTGCGTTTATATTTTATTCAGTCTACTTAAGCGATTACATATCAGAAAAGTAGAAACAAGACTTCAGTTGATTTAATAAATAACATTCAATTGAAAGTTCTGCAAATTACACAGACAACAGTACCAGGAAAAGTACCTAGCAATTCAATATATTAATTCACATTGCATTCATAGCAATAATCAATAAATACACAAATACATCAACATGACATGATCTTTGATGAGTCTTCATCAGCGATTTTCAATGCACATCAAGCTGTCCAAGCTCTCTTCAGAAAAGGGTTCAATCACTCTGTGGAGAGAGGAAACAACTAATTTTATAAACTTCATCATTTTCTTTACTTGCTGACGAGTCAGGGGTAATATGTCTCTAATGACTGTTGTGAAATGCGAATTGGAGGTGGATTCTTGCTGTACTAACCAGATCATCAAGATCATCCATCGCAGGTGGCCCTCCTTTCTTGTTCCCCATATCCTGAACCATCTAAAATGGAAAACCATGAATTTAAGTCACACTTTCAAACATAGACATAGAGTAACCCATTTGGCAGAGTTACACTTACGTCAAAATATTGCTCGTACTCCGCCATTCCCTCATCCTCTTCGTTCGCCCAGTCTCTCCAGTTATCAAAGTCTACAGCCATCCAATTTGGCTACACAGGACAGAATAATGATGGGAGAGAGAACATGTTGATATACATTCTGTCAGATAGAAGGTAGATTCTGTAATTTGACTATCATAGTGTAGCATTGTGACTTTCTGCTTTCAGAAGTCAACAATAGCAACATTTGAATCAGCCAAGACTATTGGCTCTTTCCAGTCTGAGCATGCCCCAAGGGAGGGCACAAACAGTCTTTGTCGCCCCACTGTTCATGATGATGTGCGGCAGGTAGCTTAGTGGGTAAGAGCGTTGTGCCAGTAACCGAAAGGTCGCTGGTTCTAATCCCCGAGCCGACTAGGTGAAAAATCTGTCGATGTGCCCTTGAGCAAGGCACTTAACCCTAATTGCTCCTGTAAGTCGCTCTGGATAAGAGCGTCTGCTAAATGACTAAAATGTAAAAATGTAAATGTAATGTCCTATTGCTGAGTCTACCTTTAACACATGAAGCATTAGTCTAACCTTACAATGCTCTTCACTATTCTAAGCAGAAGATCAAATGTTCCAGTACCTTGAGATCGGCATCTTTCTGAAGACGAGGCCATGCTACATTTTCTTTAGCCTTCCTAATCAAGATGTGGATACTGCGGTCATAGACTTTCACTTGGGAGTCCTGTTAGATAAATAGACAAAGCTTACTTGTAGCATTATTTACTACAGTATCCATAATGCTCTGTAACTTGTATCCATTTTATTTATACATTACCGTGCTGAACATTGAAGCATGCTGCATATTTATACATCTTTACAACTGTTACCAGTGTTAATTGTGAGAAGCAAATTAACTTTGATATGATAGAGAAATGTGAATACTTACGAATTTAATGACTTTGTCATAGAAGTAAATGTGATTGTAGATGCTGTTGTCATCAACGTCTTTACAACTGTCATGGACACAAATCCAGAGACAAACAATGTTATTAAACGTAGGCTACTTAGATACTATTTATTTAGACTAACAATTTGCTAGATCACGCACACTTCAGGGTTGCAAATTAATCAAACTCACCTTAAAACTATAAAGGTATCCTGAATATCAACCTCAACATCCTTGGGGTTTTGCACCATGAAATTAATGATGAGGTATTTTTTCCGGTCATACCATAGAGCCCGTGCTCCTTGACTATTGTTAGAAACAGGGAAAACATCATGAATTAATTGTTATATTGCATTTGTTAACACACTAATCACTAAATACCATGTTATTATCATTATCATGTATCATTCAACATATTTACAAGTGATCTACCGACTCGGGTAAAAGACCTGGAAACTCAATTTTACAGTGGTAGGGTGTAGACCTAATCTGTCAAATTAGAAAACGGCTTCACATGAATACATACCACTCCTCTGGTCTGGGAAGGTTTTTCGGTAACATGGCCATCTTGTTGGTTCTTTGTTGATTCTACGGAGATAATATGCTCTTGGACGTGTATTGTTCTTTTGTGGTTGACTGAGAGAGCAAGTGGCCTACTCAGAATTGTTAGCAGCCTATTTGTTAGGACCTGCACTATTTTTAGGTCAGATGCTATCAGCTGCTAGGGCTACATATCTCTCCCCCCTTCCCTATAGGCTGTAGTGGAACTCTCTGGAAAGAAGGGACACTTTCAGTTTTCACTCCAGGACCACCCAACCTTCTGTGAACTCAAGAGGATGGGGGAGGGAGATGAAAGTTTGCCAGAAGACAGACAGAAACTGAAAGCTGCTTAATTATTATTATTATTTTTTTTAAGATCGTATTTTATTTTTGTAAACAATACAAAACATACACACAAACGACATCACACAAACATCAACTACATCACCCCTGCCCAGACCCACATGCTCACACCCCCATCTCCTGCATCAATCTCAGGCACATGGCCTCAAACTGCACCATTTTATTTCTGTGATATTGGTTCTTGAAGAATAAGTTACATTTTCTTCTATGTTGTTATAACGTTCTTAACTATGAAGTTGTTAATGTTCTTAGCTTAATCCGTTGAAAATAGACACATGAAAAGATTCTGGAGATGAGCATGCGCATCTTCAATATGTACCCATGGTTCCGCTTTAGAGCATTTAACTATGTCGCAAGTAAATGCCTTGGGTGGCGAGTTGATACAATTCCAAGTCTGGAAGGTTAAAACCACCCTCAGACTTAGGAAGTGTAAAAACGTTCCTTTTTATTCTATGAATTTTATTTGCCCATATAGTCTTATGACCGACTATACTTTAAAATAATTTATTCGGTGGAGTAGTTGGTATTATTGAGAATAAGTATACAAACGTAACGTGTGCACTGTGATTCGGGAAGCAAGTACAGGGAGTGAATATTTAATACATAAACAGAACACGAACAACGCACAGAAATGAAACCGTAACAGAAACAGAGTCAATAACACCTGAGGAATGAACCAAGGGGAGTGACAGATATAGGGAAAGTAATCAGGTAGGTGATGGAGTCCAGGTGAGTCTGATGAGGCGCTGGCACGCATAACGATGGTGACATGTGTGCGTAATAAAGAGCAGCCTGGTGACCTCGAGGCCGGAGAGGGAGTATACGTGACAAATAACTTTGGGAGCCATGCCATTCTGAAGAGGTCTATTCTACCTGTTAGATTTATGGGAAGATTGTTCCATTTAATTTGGTCTGCTTTCATATTGTTGAGTAATGGGATAAAGTTATCTTTATATATTTGTTATAACTTATTAAGCATATTAAGTATTTGATATTTTGTGGTCCACTTAAAGGATTGCTGTAGATCATGAGGTATTATTTTTCCTATTGCCATTATTTCTCGGTTTTCCACGTTAATTTGATATCCTGAGATTTTAGATTATTCTGAAAATATTAGTTAGCAGGGGGCATTGAGTTTTCAAAATTGGTCAGGTATATCAGGAGATCGTCTGCAAATAAGTTTAGTTTATATTAATGTTTACCAATACTGATACCTGGTACGTTTGGGTCCTGTCTAATTCTTTCTGCAAGCGGTTCAATTGCCAGTGCAAACAGGAGGGGAGAGAAAGAATATCCCTATCTTGGACCCCGTTCTAAAGCAATTTCATTCGATAGTGTATTATTTGTGTATATTTTCACTTTAGGACATTTATATAATATTTTTATTAGATGTATTATTTCAGATGGAAAGTTGAAAGCTTCCAAAGTTTTGAATAGAAAAGGCCATTCAAGACAGTCGGCAACAACAGCCATTATTGATCAATCTATATCTTGTTTTTTAACTTATTGTATTCAACTGAAACATGTTCTTGTATTTGGTTGTAAGTGTATATTTGTAGTAAACCCTGTTTGATTGATATGTATCAAGGCTGGTAAAACTTTTGCAATTTGATTGCTTATGAGCTTTGTTATTTTATTGTCACAATTTATTAAACGTATGGGTCTGTAATCAGTAGGGGACTCTCTAGATTTTCCTTGTTTTAATATAACTGAAATAATTGTTTGATACGTGGAACTAGGAAGCACTGAATTGAGTGAGATGTGTTGTCATTTGTGTAAATAGGGGTGCTACTTTTCCCAAAAATGTTAAATAGAATTCTGTAAGAAAGCTGTCCATTCCTGGTGCTTTTCTCCATGCAAATGTTTTAAGTGTCTAATATTTATTTTGGGGTGATCTCTGTTTTTAGTGATTCCTTTTTGTCTGCTGATAATTGCTTCAGGGTTGTTGAGTCTAAGAAGACTGTAGGATCAGTCCCACTGTTTATTCTGATTTATATAGATTTTCATAGAAGCGTTAAACATTTTCATTAATCGCGTTGTTTCTAATTAACACGTCTGTATCCTTATCTTTTAAGATTATAACTGGTTTGGCGTGTATTTGTTTTGTGAGCCCTGTGAGATGTTTACCAGGTTTATTTGCCATTAAGTACTATGCTTTATTTGTGTTTAACCTGTAGTTGTTGGCTCTCTTCTAAAAGTTAAATATCATATTCCTGCATAAGTTCAGAAATTTCATTTCTTATTGGCAGATTCCTTTTACTGCAATTTTGAAATAGGGTTGAAGAACAACATTATCTTATTGTAAATGTGCTTATTATTGGTCAGAATTGGAATACAAATATACTCAAAGTTGTGGAAGAAACTAAAGTCACACCAGAGGCCTACAACATTTGGGAAATTCATTTCAGAATATCACATATTTATATTATTCAAATAGAAAGTGGATGAAAGATATATTACCTGTATACTTGTATTTAGAATTTAAGTGCATTTCAATAAGTTCTCAATAAATGCTATAAGCCATTCTCGCTGGAAAAGTATTTTTAGCTGCTTTTATTTTGAAGGCAGAAGCTGACATCGGAAATACTAGCTACTGTTGCTACTGTTTCTTTGCTGCCAAAAGAACACAGCCAGTTCTGGCTACTGAGCTGCTGCGTAGACCAGTTAGCTTAGTAAACTCATCCATATTACAGTGATCTAAAATAGAGCTTGGATTTATGATATTATATTTCTTTAAAAAGGTGCAATATGCAGAAATTGCTCCACCATTTACTGGTTGCTAAAATTCTAATAGTTCGCCTAATTTCAGTTTATGTGACAAAACAAGCAAATATAGTGTAGAGAATCATTGTACCATCTAAACTGGGGTGAAATATATTTTCCATAACAAAATAATATTGTATTTTCAGCTGTTTGAAGCTTGTGTACAAAACCGAAAGTAAAAGAAGCAAAAATTCAACTTAAGCACAGGAAGCATATAAATAGTGCATATAGCACAGATCTACCACTTCTTAGACTTGCTTTCAATGACAATGACAGATCTATAACTGACATTTCTATGTCAATTTAGTCGGGTCGCCCAAAAAGTTACATATTGCTGCTTTAAATATGGCATTTCAGTGTCAAAGGGACTGTTACATGTAAGAGGTATGAGAGAGAGTAACATCATATTTGTTTACCTTGTGCTTTTTTCAGATTTAGCTGGCACAGTCAGGAGCTTACTAGCTGAAAAGGTGCTAGCTGAAAAGTTGCGAGCTAACATTAGCCTACAGCTAGCACGAGCTAGCTAGCTAGCTAACATTCTTACAGTAACTTGTCCTCATTTTGTGTGTAGCCCACTTTAGTTAGCTAGCTAGTTGTTGACAGGCAGAGTGAGACATTCCTTCCACGATGTATAGTCTTCCAATGCCATGATGAAATGTTAATCAAAAGGCACATTAGCCACACAATAAATCAAGCTAGCTAGCCAGACTGAACTGGCATGGGTCTAGTTGTGTTTAACATCCCAACGCACGTGCTCATCCAATTACATGTTGTGAGTAGTGACGGCAAATTGTCTATCTCTCTGCAGTTTGTCACCTCAGTGGTGGCCTGCTCACCTGGTGAACTTAAAGAAGAAATCAATGGGAAGAAATAAACACTTCAAGGCTTCAATGTCAAGCTCCAACACAGCATATTGTTTCCTGAGGGAGGTGGTCAGGTAAATACAGGAAGGCCAGAATGCATCAACTCTATCATCTTTGAAGTCACTGAACTACCCCTCTCTTTCTGGTGAGATAAGGATGGGGTCATTGTTGAGGTGGGCTGTAAGTGGTAGGAAGCAGGCTAACACCTAGTATCTTCCATCTCCAGCCAGATGACCATAGGCTGATTGGGGACGTGCCGGTGCTGTAGATGACATGGCAGGGGTTCAGCCCTAGAGGTGGGCCAGGAGGTGCAGCTGAAGGTGGACTGGGAGCGGAGGTTTGACCACAAGCAGCAACACTCAGGTACGAGCAGAGACAGGCTTACCTTATGTGCAGTGCAGAACTTTACAATTCAGCTTCTCAGAAACCATTACATGTAGGCTATTTATGCAATATGATTAAGCGGTGCATTCAGGTGCTTTTTTAAGTGTACTTGAAGGTACAGTTGCATAAATACTGAGTTATTTTTTACTTGGTCCTTAGGGCAACATCTAATCACAGCTATTGCAGATTCCATGTTTGGGTACAAGACCACATCCTCGTAAGTATGCAGTAAGCACATTGATTTCAGTGCCTGCACTTGTACACAAAAGTAATGCATTGGTTGACCATTAAATTAAGTGACCATTTCTGCACCGATCTTTCTCTTCCATTGGCATGTTCCAGGGAGATAGGGCATCAGCGCAGCACCGTAGAGCTGGACACTCCATGAAGCCGGCCCAGATGGAGGCCCTGGAGGCAGCAGTCAGTGAGAAGATTTGTGCTCATGTCCCCGTCACTGTTCAGGTCCTCTCCTTAGACGACTTAGGCGACCCTTCATTGGAAAAGATGGGCATCATAACATGCATATAGAGTAAACACTCAAACATGCACCAGAGAAAAGACTATCAGTATAATACAATAAGTCACTACTCTGCTGCACTATTTCTCCATATTTCATGTCACTTGCCAAAGCTACATGGTGATGTATTAACCCATGAGCTGTGTATAGGGACTACTGTACATTTTAAACTCGTCATTGTTGTGAAGGTGAGGAGTGGTGGTCTCCTAGACAACGCAGGAGGGCCTATCCGGATTATCGACATTAAGGGCGTTGATGCTAACGTGTTGTGGGACCAGCCTCACTTACAGGTGACTCTCAAACTAAACACGGTAAACTTTATCTTAAACTTTTTCTATGTACAGTATTATGTTATGTTTATGCCATAACTACAACACCTCCTCTACTACTTTGCCAATGGATTTAATATGTGATACGATATAGCTCACCTCTTATGTTTTTAATGTGGCTTTATGGATGCAATGCTTCTCTTACTTTTGACAGATTGAATCTGATGAGGTGATTCAATCTGTCAAAAGTGAGAGTAGCATTGCATCCATAAAGCTATTTTAAGCCACATTCTGTTATTAGGTCATAAAACTCCTGGCAACTGACGAAGGAAAGAAGAACAAAATCATCCTGTTATTCCTAGTGGGCAACCAGGTCCTGAAGTATGCTGAGAAAAGCTACAGCAGAGAACGTTCACTGGTGTCCCTCCTCAAGTGTGTCCCGCAAAGCAATGTTCAATGTGGCAAAAACTTAAAATGCTATAAATTATGTAGATACATTATAGTGATTTTTAAATGTAATACAGTGGGGGAAAAAAGTATTTAGTCAGCCACCAATTGTGCAAGATCTCCCACTTAAAAAGATGAGAGAGGCCTGTAATTTTCATCATAGGTATACGTCAACTATGACAGAAAATTGAGATTTTTTTTCTCCAGAAAATCACATTGTAGGATTTTTTATGAATTTATTTGCAAATTATGGTGGAAAATAAGTATTTGGTCACCTACAAACAAGCAAGATTTCTGGCTCTCACAGACTTGTAACTTCTTCTTTAAGAGGCTCCTCTGTCCTCCACTCGTTACCTGTATTAATGGCACCTGTTTGAACTTGTTATCAGTATAAAAGACACCTGTCCACAACCTCAAACAGTCACACTCCAAACTCCACTATGGCCAAGACCAAAGAGCTGTCAAAGGACACCAGAAACAAAATTGTAGACCTGCACCAGGCTGGGAAGACTGAATCTGCAATAGGTAAGCAGCTTGGTTTGAAGAAATCAACTGTGGGAGCAATTATTAGGAAATGGAAGACATACAAGACCATTGATAATCTCCCTCGATCTGGGGCTCCACGCAAGATCTCACCCAGTGGGGTCAAAATGATCACAAGAACGGTGAGCAAAAATCCCAGAACCACACGGGGGGACCTAGTGAATGACCTGCAGAGAGCTGGGACCAAAGTAACAAAGCCTACCATCAGTAACACACTACGCCGCCAAGGACTCAAATCCTGCAGTGCCAGACGTGTCCCCCTGCTTAAGCCAGTACATGTCCAGGCCTGTCTGAAGTTTGCTAGAGTGCATTTGGATGATCCAAAAGGGGATTGGGAGAATGTCATATGGTCAGATGAAACCAAAATTTAACTTTTTGGTAAAAACTCAACTCGTCGTGTTTGGAGGACAAAGAATGCTGAGTTGCATCCAAAGAACACCATACCTACTGTGAAGCATGGGGGTGGAAACATCATGCCTTGGGGCTGTTTTTCTGCAAAGGGACCAGGACGACTGATCCGTGTAAAGGAAATAATGAATAGGGCCATGTATCGTGAGATTTTGAGTGAAAACCTCCTTCCATCAACAAGGGCATTGAAGATGAAACGTGGCTGGGTCTTTCAGCATGACAATGATCCCAAACACACCATCCGGGCAACGAAGGTGTGGCTTCGTAAGAAGCATTTCAAGGTCCTGGAGTGGCCTAGCCAGTGTCCAGATCTCAACCCCATAGAAAATCTTTGGAGGGAGTTGAGAGTCCGTGTTGCCCAGCGACAGCCCCAAAACATCACTGCTCTAGAGGAGATCTGCATGGAGGAATGGGACAAAATACCAGCAACAGTGTGTGAAAACCTTGTGAAGACTTACAGAAAACGTTTGACCTGTGTCATTGCCAACAAAGGGTATATAACAAAGTATTGAGAAACTTTTATTATTGACCAAATACTTATTTTCCACCATAATTAGCAAATACATTCATTAAAAATCCTACAATGTGATTTTCTGGATTTTCTTTCCTCATTTTGTCTGTCATAGTTGACGTGTACCTATGATGAACATTACAGGCCTCTCTCATCTTTTTAAGTGGGAGAACTTGCACAATTGGTGGCTGACTAAATACTTTTTTCCCCCACTGTACATGTGTTAAGAAATAAAGTCTCAAACACTTGATTTGACTGTGTTTGACAGAACAGGACCATATGATCATGTTGATGGAGTGGACAAGATCCAGAAGACTGAAGGCACTACAGAAGGGAAGCTACTGAAAACCTCCTGTTGCTCTGAAGTTCCCTTATTCTGCCTTCAATTTAATCATTAACCAAACTGTTTTCATTTGACAGAGTAACCTGGGCCTACTGAGAGACATGGCGGTTCTAAAAGCCCAGAAAGAGCAACCCAGAGAGAGGCAACTTCTTCACCTTACACAAGTGAGGCTCTTTCCACACATACTCCTATTTTCAGATGGACAAATGAAATGACTGGGTTGCTAATCTGTCATTAAAAACGTATCAGTTTATTAAAATAGTAAAGATAATGTTCCATTTTCTCCCCATTTAGGAAAGAGGTTGACAACAAGTTCATGAGCATCATAGCCAATGAAATAGGCACTGAGGTATTAGTGTCTAATCTTCTTTACTGAAATGCATCTAAGTTATAAGTAGCATTAAAAACTGGGTGGTTCGAGCCCTGAATGCTGATTGGTTGAAAGCTGTGGTATATCAGACTGTATACCACGGGTATGACAAAACATTTATTTTTACTGCTCTAATTACATTGGTAACTAGTTTATAACAGCAATAAGGCTGAGCGGTGTTACAGGAGGGGGTCGCAGTTCCGGAGCGACCCACTAGGTGTCATCCTCCGACAACCTTAGGCACCTCCTCACTCACAGTTGGGACTAATCATCATCCTATTGGTGTCACCTGTGTCTATCGGTTCACCTATGTATTTATGCCCTCACTTCCCTGTGTTCTTGCTCAGTTTTCTCTGCTAGTTTCTCTATGTCCAGCAGTACTACTCAGTGTCTGATTGGAGATCTATGTACAGGTACTTGATAAGTGTTCTCCCTGTTTCGTTATTTGTTTCAGTCTTAGGTATTATTTCGTATTTTGGCTGTCTGACGGTTTTTGGAGACTTATTTGCTCCGCCTTTCTTTTATCGTGATAAGTCTGTTATTTTGTATTTTAGCTTCGGGACCACCAGTAAAGATCCTTGTTTCACCATCTCTGCCTACTGCCTACTGTATATCCTGCACCGCACCTGGGTCACACCTCACCCCAAGCCTTACAGATCGGGGGTTTGTGATATGGCCAATATACCACGGCTAAGGGCCGTGTCCAGGCACTCCGCGTTGCGTCGTGCTTAAGAACAGCCCTTAGCCGTGGTATATTGGCCATATACTACACCCCCTCGGGCCTTATTGCTTAACTGTACCATGACTGATTATATTGGAAATGTAGGTGTTCTGTTGTATTATGAATACCTAATAAACCCTCCTGTTTTTTGTCTTATAGGAGACGTTAGTGTTCCTGACTGTTGGAGAGGAGAAGAGACCAGGTGGTTCCTGCTGGTAAGACCCAGTGGGTCGGTAAGAACTGAAAGGGCTCTGCATTGGGAAATCCATGATTGGCCCCTGTTCAGGAGCTTGGATGTTTTGAGTTTTGACTTATGTAAAGTGGGTTCTTGCAGTGAATTAGTCACCAAGCCAGGGGGCACACTTTTACAAGAAAAAAATAGATTATGGAAGATTTGCTACAGCATTTCAAAACAGATTTCAAACTCAAACAAATACTTTAACTGAAATTTGTAACAACGTGGTACTGTATCTGTGTCTGTATTGCAGTGTGCTGGAGATGCTCCAGGGCAAAGGGGTTGGGAAGAACTGAAGCTTCCAGGGCAAAGTCAACAGCATGGCACCCCGAAGTGAGGTGGAGGCCCTACTACAGGAACACTGCAAGAGTGAGCTGTAATAGATGATTGGAGTGTCTGAATCCCCCCCAGAAACACCAACCTGGTCTCAGAGCATTTCATATTATTCTGTACGTAAATCCGAGACACTCCATTTAGTATAATATGTTACATTTTGTATGGTGTGTATTAATTTGTGGATGTCCATCACCCATTTCGTATGATATGTCACGAATGACAATTTGCATTATATGTTAAGAATTTGCAAAACGTACAATATGTTGCAAATTTGCCAAACGTATTATATGTTACAAATTTGCCAAACGTATGATATGTTATAAATTCTAGCTAGGTGGCTAACATAGCTAGCTGGTTAACGTGAGCTAGGCTATGGGGTTAGGGTTAGGGGTTAGGGTTAAGTTTAGGAGTTAGGTTAAAGGGTTAAGGTTAGGGTTAGGGGATGGTAAAAGGGTTAAGATTACGGTTAGGGCTAGGGGAAGGGTTAGCTAACATGCTAAGTAGTTGCAAAGTAGCTAAAAAGTAGTAAGTCGCTGAAAAGTTGCTAATGAGCTAAAATGCTAAAGTTGTCCATGATGGGATTCAAACTCGCAATCTTTAGGTTGCTAGATGTTCGCGCTATATGCCTACTCATCCACCCCAACCAACCACCGTACTTTTGTTTTTGCCTTAAGTAACCATCTGTCTTATGTTACCATACCAAAGAGCTCAGTGACTTTCAACGTGGCACTGTCATAGGATGCCACCTTTCCAACAAGTCAGTCCGTCAAATTTCTGCCCTGCTAGAGCTGTCCTGGTCAACTGTAAGTGCTGTTATGTGAAGTGGAAACGTCTAGGAGCAACAACGGCTCAGCTGCGAAGTGGTAGTCCACATAAGCTCACAGAATGGGACCGCCAAGTGTTGAAGCGCGTAGTGTCTAAAAATCGTCTGTCCTCGTTTGCAACACTCACTACCGAGTTCCAAACTGCCTCTGGAAGCAACGTCAGCACAATAACTGTTTGTCGGGAGCTTCATGAAATGGGTTTCCATGGCCGAGCAGCTGCACACAAGCCTAAGATCACCATGCGCAATGCCAAGCGTCGGCTGGAATGGTGTAAAGCTTGCAGCCATTGGACTCTGGAGCAGTGGAAACGCGTTCTCTGGAGTGATGAATCACGCTTCACCATCTAGCAGTCCGACGGACGAATCTGGGTTTGGCGGATGCCAGCAGAACGCTACTTGCTCCAATGCATAGTGCCAACTGTAAAGTTTGGTGGAGGAGGAATACTGGTCTGGGTCTGTTTTTCATGGTTCGGGTTAGGCCCCTTAGTTACAGTGAAGGGAAATATTAATGCTACAGCATACAATGACATTCTAGACGATTCTGTGCTTCCAACTACTGTATGTGGCAACAGTTTGGGGAAGGCCCTTTCCTGATTCAGTATGACAATGACCCCGTGCACAAAGCGAGGTCCATACAGAAATAGTTTGTCGAGATCGGTGTGGAAGAACTTGACTGGCCTGCACAGAGCCCTGACCTCAACCCCATCGAACACCTCTGGGATGAATTGGAATACCGACTGCGAGCCAGTGTATTTAAATAAATACGTTTGGACAGTCATTTTTATTTGGTCCGCTTTGAGGCTAGCAAATACATAACCAAAAGCAGGCCAGACTATCGATTAAAAACCTGGCAGTCAAATATTGATGGTTCAGCCAAGGCTGTCAGTTCTAAGTACTTGCAGGGAGTGACGTCTGTGTGACGTGTGGACCTATGTCATCAGGGATTATCAGTGAGTGTGGGGCCAGAGGCCAGGGCTCCATATAGGGTTGATGACCACTGGTTTGGCTCTGTTTATATGTACTGTACAAATAGTTTTTTTTTTTTTTTTTTTTACAATGTGTACTTGTTCTGTAGACGCATGTCACTGATAGTGTGATGATTTCAATTTTACCACTGCTGCAGTTTCAAAGTTTTGTGGACTTGCTGATAGTTTAACGTTAGGAAACAATTAAACTGAATGTAGAATCATGTGTCTGAACTGATCCCTAACAGTATGTTTAGTAATGTTAGCACATGTTCAGTGATATATTTTGAAAGATTTTTATTATAAATATCTGACAGAATTTCAAAAAATATATTAAACAGGAAAAATACTGTTACAAAACAAATATTAACAAAGTTATTTATATATAACATATTCTTAGAACGCACTGTAAAGCGGGCCACTAAAGTCCCTGACAGAGCTTTTGGGCTCATTTTCTCCTGGATTTGATTCGGCTTTATCTCGTTTTCAAAATGGGAACATTAACTTGCTGGACTCATGAGTTCGCACTGAACTACTTATAAATTATCATTTTTTATACAATCAAATCACAGGGTCTTAAGTGCCACTGAGTAATTCACTGGATAGTGCTTTCATTTTAGTGTTCACACTGTGTGTAAATAGGAAAATAAGACATTTGCAGTGAGTGACTGGATGAAAGTAGGGAAGACAAAGACCACAAGGGCTTGTTGATCGCTTGGGCTATTTGGGAAGAAAGTCAATGTATGAAATAATTGAGGATTAAAGCACGGTTCAATTCTGGAGTCATATCCATATCTGTACGTGTTGACCGCCAACGACCTCACATATGCTTCTTGCTCTGCACGCTGCTCAGAGCTCCAGACACGCAGTAGGGGATGATGCTGACGGTTGCCAGGGGGACAGTGGCGCTCTTGCAGAAAGACAGTAGGTAGAAGACAGTGGCAGTGTGCGTGGGGGGCTTGAAGGAGTCAAAGAGGTGCAGCAGGAGCAGCGAGGTGACGATACATCCCGTCCTAAAGAGGGTGCTGCTGCTCTTCTTGCTCTCAGTGTAGAGGGGAGAGTGCAGGCCCAGGCCCAGGCCAAACAGGGTGCCCATGTTGCGCAGGAGGCTGGCGAAGGGGGTGGAGTCCATGTGGACCCATTCGGCTCTCACACACCACTTCTGGGCTTTCTCTAGGGTCCACAGCAGGTCCACGCCTAGAGCCTTCAGCAGCACGTAGAAGCCCACAGCGAAGGAGAGCAGGAAGAGGGTGGTGTAGAAGTACTTCTTCAGACTGGCTCCGTAGATCCACTGGGTTCTTTCGAAGGCCTCGGCCACAACCATACCTGGAAATCAAATAGAAAACGTAATATTAGCATCATGTAGTTGAACAATCTGCACATTTTGTACCATATTTATGAGGGTTGTTATAAGGGCTGGTATAAGGGCTTCATACTGACCTGTGATGACTCCACAGATGACCTGGTGGGGGAAGTGGGCAGCAATGAAGACTCTGGAGAGACAGACACACACCTGGACCGCCCAGAAGAATGCCCACAGAGTGCCCCGCAGATACCTGCCCAGACAAGGGGAGAGGGAGAGGAACCTTCAGCAAATACATCTTTAAGCGTTTTGAAATTTGTCTGGCTGCTAAGATAGTGTATAAGAAACCTTGAATACCAGTAAATGTGCAAATGAATATTATTCACAGCAGGGGAATTTGTTTTTCCTGTGTCACTACAGGTAAATAGGCTTCTACTGCTACACATGTAATACTTTTAATAGACTGTTGCTTCCTTTGATTTTACAACAAAACCGCTCGAATGGAATCTTTTGCACATCCCCTTCCCTTCGACAACTGAAGTTAGTTTTCAGGGTAAATCATCAACTACAGTGCTTCACAGATAGGTGGGAGAAAACTGATAAGCACTGAACGAAAGATGGCAAACAAGAACAAGATCACTGAGGACAAGAGAAAGAGGGGTTGAAGGTTCTGGAACTTACAGGCCCTTGGAGGAAGATCTCGTCTCACTCTTGGTCAGCATGATGGCTAGGATGGAGGTGACCAGAGTATAGTAGATGCCTGCGGCTCCCATAGCGTGGCCGGAGGGACTGCCTACCAGGCACACAGACAGAGAGGCATACTTCAGTCAATGGTCATAGCACTTTATTCAAGTAAAATGAAAACCCAACACAATACTATATAATATTGTAAACCATTAATATTATCAACATCATTACAATTATAAAGCGTTGGCTATATTCACTGAATCATAGCATATACACTCCCATACACATATAAGCTAAAACTTTTAATTTGTCTCTATATTCCAGCATTTTGGATTTGAGATCAAATGTTTCATATGAGGCAACAGTACAGAATGTGACCTTTTATTTGAAGGTATTTTTAAAAATATTTGTTTTACCGTTTAGAAATGAAAGCACTTTGTTGAAAGCACTTTACAAAAAAGTGACTCCAAAATGACACAATACATTATTTACCATTAATTTCTATTAGGCACAACATAATCTAAAATGCAACCAAAACAAACTGCAAATGCATCCATAAATTTGCAGAGTCACAAGCTTGATGTAGTCATTGTGAGATAGAAATATGGGATCAAATACTAAACCTTTGACTACATACTTGCTGGATGCATTTGCAGTTTGTTTTGGTTGCGTTTCGGATGATGTTGTGCCCAATAGAAATGAATGGTTAATAATGTATTGTGTCATTTTGAATAACTTTTTTTGTAAAGGGCTTTCAACAAAGTGCTTTCATTTCTAAATGGTAAAAGAGCTATGTATGAAAATACCCTCAAAGTGAATTTGTCCAAATACTTATGACACTTTCAAATGGGGGGACTAGATACATAAAGTGCTTTCATTTCTAAATGGTAAAACAGATATGTATGAAAATACCCTTATATAAAAGGTGACATTCTGTACTGTCACCTCATATGAAAAATCTGATCTCTAATCCAAAATGCTGGAGTATAGAGCCAAATTAAAAGTTTTCACTTCACTTTCCAAATAAATATGCAGGGGAGTGTATATTTCATATCATAAGGCACTATGGTAAAAGTATATGGAAGTAAAGTGATGCTTCTTACCTGGGCCAGTTTCACAGGTCATGGGGTACTGTTCAATGTGAGGTGCAGTGGTATTGATGTAGTAAGGTGTTTCATGGACCCACCAATACGGCCTCTCACCAAACAGAATCCTTAGGAAGGAAGCACAAGCCACTTACAATTAAGATGAATGCGGGGAATTTAAGTCTATTGCATTTTATTTTAATTAAATTGACAGGGACTGTGCACATTTATCAACATTTCAACTTGCCAGATGTAGCCCAGTAACCATTTATTTGCATAAACCATACATAACACATTAATAAACAGTACGACTCACCACTTGAAGACCATGTTGAGCCAGTCTCCGATCACTGCCACCCAGATGAGCTTGATGCCCACCGACTCCCGCAGGTGGAACCAGAGAGGGAAGAAGATGAAGAAGGTGTTCCTGAGGTCAGCAGCCCAGGACACCCACAGGAACAAACCCTGGGCATCCTTATAGTTGGTCTGGAGGTAATTAGTGGTGCTCACCCCATAGCCCTGCATGGCATTCATGACTGTCTCCATTTTCGAGCTGTCCCTAGTGAATTGTCAGTCTAGGAAGCCAATATGAGATGTGGTGGGGTATGAGAGCACTGTATGTAGGAGTCTGCCTGTTGTTTTTATACCAGAGCGACCCACCACCCAAAGGCATGTACAGCCTGATCTTTGGACCTTGCACATGTGCAATAAAGCACAGCGGGGCAGGGGAGTTTGGGAGGGATGTACTAAGGAGAGAGACCATACAAATAAGTACAAAGAACGGGTAAAAACAATAGTCAATCAGTGTCTCTGTGTCTCTCACCCTGAAATAGACAAAAATACTTCATTTATGATTGACCAGTGGAATTCAAATTCAAACCTAACAAATAACCTACACAATACAGTTTGTGGCAAAACAAGCCAAGCAAGGGGATGTGTGGACAACGGCATTGCTTTTGCTTTTATCTATTGAAATGCAAAACCCAATGTTTTACTACACTACAGTCTGCTTTATCTGTAATACAGCAAGTTGTCCTTGTAAGACCATGAAATGGATAAGATAGGGACTAGAAGAGTCACACAAATGCACAGACTTCACTAAGCCCACTTTCTGGGCAGTTTTAAACAACACATTTAAAAAATAAGAAATAAAAAACATTTGAATTATAAAAAGGCTAATATATATATTGACAATATGCTAAATACGCCCATCCTTCGACAACTTGCAGACAATAATCTGTCAGTTATATAATACATTTCTGACGACTTTGTGAAAATTGAGTCTGGCCAGAATCCAGCGGCTAGCCCACCTGTTGGTTACATAAAGGAATCAATCATTAAATGGTTTGGGACTTACTCAGGAGATGCTGAGAAGATAACTGACCAATAAAACTAGGTCCTGGATATGGTAATCACTCTACTGTAAATAGGTCAGACTAGGCAACCCCCAAGCCAGGGTTTTATCTCGGAAAGAAATAGCCAATGAACTATTATCATTATAGCAGGTCACAAAGTCAATTGTGAATTGTCAATGGATTTAGTCCCATTCGTTTCACATGTTAATGATGGATGTGGTTGAGGTAGTAGGACATAAATAGGTCAATCAATTTTCATTGGACTGCTTAAAGTGTCCTTGCTACTATCCTCGCCAAGAGACGTATAGTCCTGGAGTGGAAAAACATTCACCCACCATTGCACAGTCATCCTGTTTCAGGGGCTAGCTTATCACTCCAGAGCAGACCACCTCTGTTTACCGCCTTTGGCAGCAGGAGCTCCATGGAGGGGTGTAGGCTCAGTGGCGGACTTACCATTAGGCAACCAAGGCAATTGCCTGGGGCCTCATATCATCAGTGAGACCTCCAGGGGGCCCCCATTGATTTTGTTAGTCAACCAGATATAATTTAGTATGAACATCGCATAAGTCAAGACAAAATGTGTAGAATTGCAGGAAATTAACTTTAAAACTGCAACATTTTCTCTCCTCCCCATAGCAAAATGTGTAGAATTGCAGGAAAGCAGCTTTGAAACTGCAACATGTTCTCTATTCATAGCAAAATGTGTATAATTGCTGGAAATTAACTTTAAAATTATATATTTTTTATCTCCGCTGCCAAGAGGGAGGCCGTTAAAATGTTTTGCCCGCGAGGTGGGTGTGGGGTTAACCAAATATCACTTAGGCCAGGGGCCTCAGACTAGCCTCCAAATCACTAAGTCCGCCCCTGTGTAGGCTAAAGGTTAGGGAGTATGTCTGCAACAACCTCCAGGAGGCAAACAAATGCCCTAACCTTGAATAAAGTCCAGTGGGAACAACAGACTGAACGACAGTCCTGGAGCTCAAGAGGACTACTCCTGACCATTCTCCAATCCTCTCCCAGCTTTGGTGTACCTTCCCTGGGGACTGATCTGGATCAACACCACAGTCATGGATATTTTCCACAGCTGGGGGGTGGAGGTGGCCGTCCATCTGCAGACCCAGTATGGGCATTATGAGGGCTGGTTTAGCCTAGCCTCTACAGTGGCAGACCTGCATACCACCTTCTTTTGTTTCTTCCCAGTCTGGTTCTATCTACGCAGGGATGTGGGTGTAAAGCTCATCTGGGTGGCTGTCATCGGGGACTGGCTCAACCTGGTCATGAAGTGGTAAGGAACGGATTCAATTGGTTTTCTGTCATTGGTTTGTCATGGATTTTGGTACACATTGCGATTTAGTACACATAAACAAGAACTTACGCTGACTTGAACATAATTTAAAATGGAAATTGTCATTATATATTGCAAAGTCGTAACATTTCAAAGAGTTTAACGATGTTCTCTCTCCATGGCAGGGTTCTATTTGGAGAGAGACCCTATTGGTGGGTCCATGATACCCGCTTCTATGGGAAAGATCCAGCCCCTGCCTTAAAACAATTCCCCATCACCTGTGAAACTGGACCAGGTAGGCAATGCCATAGATAGATGTGTGCCAGAGTCTAGCACTGATTATCACTCAACACACCTCAAGATTATAGCAGTCTTGGCAAGTGGAAGCATTATTTGCTTAGCCTATATCTAATAGATGACTGATAACAGTACTATAGTGCCATAACAACCTTTGCACTTATTGATTCCCATTCCGCAGGGTAAATACATAGAGAATAATCTTATCTGGAAAGGAATTCGGTAGTGTAGTGTGTCATTTTTGTTTCACTAATTGCATCTTCAGGGTGTGTTTCCACTGTCCAAATAAGACAACAAAACAGGGATGGGAAAGAGGTGGAATGTGATTATGGGAAAATACTGCAGACAATAGATACTGAACAAAGAGACTTTGCCATCATATCCCTGGTAGCCAGATATGTGTGTGCTTTAGCCAACTCTTATATCCTAAATGGTCAATGAAGCCAAAGTGTGCTGTTTTTCATAGGAAGCCCTTCGGGTCATGCCATGGGCTCGGCTGGGGTGTGGTACGTGATGATAACGGCTGTCTTCTCAGTGGCGGCAGAAAGACGGTTCCCCCCTATCCTGTACAAGTGGGTCAAAGAGAAGTGGAGTCAATGGTGGTGTTACTGCTTATACCCAATTCAATGCTTACAGATCTACACAAAGTGCCTGGGAGTTAGGGCAGGGGTGGGAAAACTACGGCCCTCCAGTCAATGTTATTCGGCCCGCGAGGGAGACCATACAGAGGTAGATTTGTTTGTTTTTGGGGAAATTATTATTTTGGTTTAAAAAACCACTCCAGGCTATTCTTGAACATCTGAAACTACTGTAAATACACTGCTCAAAAAAATAAAGGGAACACTTAAACAACACAATGTAACTCCAAGTCAATCACACTTCTGTGAAATCAAACTGTCCACTTAGGAAGCAACACTGATTGACAATACATTTCACATGCTGTTGTGCAAATGGAATAGACAACAGGTGGAAATTATAGGCAATTAGCAAGACACCCCCAATAAAGGACTGGTTTTGCAGGTGGTGACCACAGACCACTTCTCAGTTCCTATGCTTCCTGGCTGATGTTTTGGTCACTTTTGAATGCTGGCGGTGCTTTCACTCTAGTGGTAGCATGAGACGGAGTCTACAACCCACACAAGTGGCTCAGGTAGTGCAGCTCATCCAGGATGGCACATCAATGCGAGCTGTGGCAAGAAGGTTTGCTGTGTCTGTCAGCGTAGTGTCCAGAGCATGGAGGCGCTACCAGGAGACAGGCCAGTACATCAGGAGATGTGGAGGAGGCCGTAGGAGGGCAACAACCCAGCAGCAGGACTGCTACCTCCGCCTTTGTGCAAGGAGGAGCAGGAGGAGCACTGCCAGAGCCCTGCAAAATGACCTCCAGCAGGCCACAAATGTGCATGTGTCTGCTCAAACGGTCAGAAACAGACTCCATGAGGGTGGTATGAGGGCCCGACGTCCACAGGTGGGGGTTGTGCTTACAGCCCAACACCGTGCAGGATGTTTGGCATTTGCCAGAGAACACCAAGATTGGCAAATTCGCCACTGGCGCCCTGTGCTCTTCACAGATGAAAGCAGGTTCACACTGAGCACGTGACAGACGTGACAGAGTCTGGAGACGCCGTGGAGAACGTTCTGCTGCCTGCAACATCCTCCAGCATGACCGGTTTGGCGGTGGGTCAGTCATGGTGTGGGGTGGCATTTCTTTGGGGGGCCGCACAGCCCTCCATGTGCTCGCCAGAGGTAGCCTGAGGTACCGAGATGAGATCCTCAGACCCCTTGTGAGACCATATGCTGGTGCGGTTGGCCCTGGGTTCCTCCTAATGCAAGACAATGCTAGACCTCATGTGGCTGGAGTGTGTCAGCAGTTCCTGCAAGAGGAAGGCATTGATGCTATGGACTGGCCTGTCCGTTCCCCAGACCTGAATCCAATTGAGCACATCTGGGACATCATGTCTCGCTCCATCCACCAACGCCACGTTTCACCACAGACTGTCCAGGAGTTGGCGGATGCTTTAGTCCAGGTCTGGGAGGAGATCCCTCAGGAGACCATCCGCCACCTCATCAGGAGCATTCCCAGGCGTTGTAGGGAGGTCATACGGGCACATGGAGGCCACACACACTACTGAGCCTCATTTTGACTTGTTTTAAGGACATTACATCAAAGTTGGATCAGCCTGTAGTGTGGTTTTCCACTTTAATTTTGAGGGTGACTCTAAATCCAGACCTCCATGGGTTGATAAATTTGATTTCCATTGATCATTTTTGTGTGATTTTGTTGTCAGCACATTCAACTATGTAAAGAAAAAAGTATTTAATAAGATTATTTCATTCATTCAGATCTAGGATGTGTTATTTTAGTGTTCCCTTTATTTTTTTGAGCAGTGTATAAAGTATGTTGAAATGGTAATAGACCGATATATTTTCAAATAACTGCCCTTTCTCTGGCCCTCAAATATATTTTTTGGACGAACAAATCTGTAAAAAAAAAACTTAGTTAGGGTGAAGGATCTATTGTTGTTTCGGAGCAGGGCCTTAGTTAATTTTTCTTCCCCAGTTTCTTGCAAGTGGGGCTGTGGATGCTGCTGTGTACAGTAGAGCTGCTGGTGTGCATGTCCAGAGTCTACATGGCTGCCCATTTCCCGCACCAGGTCATCAGTGGGGTCATCACAGGTCAGAGAACCAGGGCTTGACCTAGATTTCAAGATGCAGCTTGTACCCCTAGCAGGTTGTGCTGACCTGAACCGAACTGTGCTGGCTTGGTTATTTTCCTTTCACATTGTCGTCCTTTCCAGGAACTGTGTTGAATGCGCAACCAGGCCAGCACAGTACAGCTCGGCTTAGCTTGGTTTGGATCAGCAAGTACACTGTAAAAAAAATACTGTTGTTTTTATGGTAACTTACTGGCAGCCAGTAAACTTTACAGTAATATACTGTTAAACCCACGTTTCTTTGGAATTTACAGTAACATACTGTACTTTTTACAGTACAGTTTTTACTGTAAAGTTTACAGTAATGTACTATTAAACCAAAGTTTCTTTCGAATTTATGGTAAAATACAGTAAGTTACCGTAAAAGAACTAGATTGTTCTTTACAATATAAAAGGGGTATTGGGTTTCGATTCTGTTCTACAATGTTCTTGTCTATATCCATGGCAGGTATCATGGTGGCTGAGGTCTTCTCCAGAGTGCAGTGGATCTACAGAGCCAGTCTGAAGAAGTACTTCTACACCACCCTCTTTCTGCTCTCCTTCGCTGTGGGCTTCTACGAGCTGCTGAAGGCTCTAGGCGTGGACCTGCTGTGGACCCTAGAGAAAGCCCAGAAGTGGTGTGTGAGAGCCGAATGGGTCCACATGGACTCCACCCCCTTTGCCAGCCTCCTGCGCAACATGGGCACCCTGTTTGGCCTGGGCCTGGGCCTGCACTCGCCCCTCTACACTGAGAGCAAGAAGAGCAGCATCCCCTTCAGGGTGGGATGTATCACTGTCTCTTTATTGTTGCTACAGGTCCTGGATGGCTTGACGTTCTCCTCCAGAGACCAGGCAATGTTCTATGTGTTGTCCTTTAGTAAGAGTGCTGCTGCTCTCTTCATCCCCACAGCTCTGGTTCCCGGAGGACTCTCCTGGATCTTCCCAGGTAGTGGGGCGGCTAAGCTGAAATTTTCATAACAACCATTCACTTTATGATAAAAGCACTACATTTGGCCGAGGTAGGTTTATATAAATATTTAGATATCAGGCCATGGTAGCCATCTTACAAAATAGCCACTGAAAGTAACACAACATTTTACAATTCAGGAGTGTTTTGATATAATTGCACCAAATTTGTTACAGAGGTAGATGTATGTGCCCTGAAAATATGTATATATGGAGTTACCACAGATTTGGCCCCTTGGACACAGCAGCCATTTTACAAAATGGCAACATAATGTAATACTTTTTTACAATTTGGAATAACTGTTTTGAGATAACTGCACCAAATGTGCTACGTAGGTACATTATGTACCCTGAAAGAATTAAGAAATGGAGACCCCACAGATTTGGCCCCTGGCGGCCGGCTCTCTCGTAGCCGGCCGCGACCGGGAGACCCATGGGGCGGCGCACAATTGGCCCAGTGTCGTCTAGGGTAGGGGAGGGAATGGCCGGCAGGGATGTAGCTCAGTTGGTAGAGCATGGCGTTTGCAACGCCAGGGTTGTGGGTTTTTCATACCCCCACAGGGGGTATGAAAAAAAAATGATAAAAGAAAAAAAGAATAATGTATGCACTCACTAACTGTAAGTCGCTCCGGATAAGAGCGTCTGCTAAATGACTAAAATGTAAAAATGTAAATGTAAATATTGTAAAACTGTTATACAATGCAGAAGGACTGTTTTGAGATAACAGCACCACATTTAGTACAGAGGTAGATGTACAGTGCCTTCAGACAGTATTCATACCCCTTGAATTATTCCACATATTGTTGTGTTACAGCCTAAATTCAAAATGGATTACATTTATTTATTTTTATCGCACCCATCTGCACACAATATCCCATAATGACAAAGTGAAAACATATTTTTAGAACTGTTTGCAAATTAATATTTAGGCTTGCCATAACAATGGGGTTGACTGAAGACATGTCATCTTTTCATTTTTAATTAATTAGAAGAAAAAGTATTCGAAAAGCATACATCCACATTGACATTATGTGGTATTGTGTGTAGGCCAGTGACTAAAATCCCCCCCCCCCCATTTTCATGCAGTTTTACAGCAGATTTTCAGCAATTCTAAACATTTTGCCATAGGGTGGAGGCAAATGATTGCAGTTGTTAATATGATAACTGATGATCAATGGGCTTCACCCCGGTCGGTAATTCGACCATGCTTTCTACAAGTTTAGATAGCTGGCCGCTAGACTAATTTACCAACCCCCCCCCAAAATTGCTGACATTAGCTAATTAAGTGCTGATGCACAACTAAATTCCAAAATTGCATCTCTCTCAGAGCATTTATACTGGAGTTTCTCTATTTCATTGTGGTTATGTCTCTTAGGTTCATATTAACACACGCTCTTTTATCTGAAACTTGTGAATGATGCTGGTGAATGATACTGTGCTGGTGTGGCTCATTCAATGACAACAGGAGGACAAAGGGTGATTATCAGGCCCTGGACTCTGGACCATGAGCAGTGAGGATCAAGACTGGTTGTACTATAATCTATGTACCACAGGGATGTCAGACTGCTGACTAACTCTTTTTACTTTTACCACTGTAGATGCTGCTGTGTAGCTTCTGATGGAATCCTAGACATTCAAGACTTATATATGGATATGGTTATGCACAGGTGGTGAATATGATCATGCTTCAGATTTTTTTGTTGTTGTTGTTGCAGTTAGCCTGGTTGATTTGAAGAAGTTAAAGTGTTTGACCATTTTTTACATTTTATTTACTAGATATTGTGAACAAGATTGCCGAGATTAACTAATGAGTAATATCAGACAGAGATTGTCATACTTTTGAGTTTGATTGTTCTTCCGAGAAAGATTCGGTCCTGTTTTTCCAAAATGCCAATGCTGATTAATTTTCACCAGAGCCAGGCATTAAACATTAACTACCAGGCCATCATTCCTCAGCTCAATACATAGCAACACTATTTCTCTGTACCTCATGGCCACTGACGTTGGGGGTTTTGGGCATGGAGGTTCAAAGAGCAGTACTTTTTGTGTGCACCATGTGTATCTGTGCATTAGTGATACATACCCAGTATACTGTTTCAAACAAACATACCAGCAATAAATCAATAAAGACTTTACTGTACATTGTCACATGTCAACACTACTGTACAAAATCACCTTAACCCCGATATGAAGTCGGTGACAATCCAGCCTATCATAGACAAGTATTGTGACGTACATGCATATTTCCTATGGTGACATAATACTGTACATCCATCCAACCTAGGGTTGCAAAGCTACCAGTAATGTGCCAAAGTTGAATATTCGGTAATTAATAGGCAATCTATGGCAACTGGTCATTTATACATTAATAACTTTTTTTTAAAGTATTCATACGTACTCATTGTTTATATCTGTGTCCATATTGTCCTTGACTTTCTAGTGGATGGACTATATGGTTAAAGAGAAAATAGCCTAATTAACCCTGTAGACCCCAATAGAATTCTAGAATGCTGCTGTAGATTAATGAGAATTTTCAAGATAAAGCTCATTTTCTTACACATTTCAAACAGACATAGCTCAAAAACAAATACCAAATGACAATTGCAAGTTTTAAAGAGCACAACCTCTTCTATGACACCACATTCATGTCAATAGGAATAACACTATTTTGTCTTTAATTGTGTAAAGACACTCACTATCAAAAAACGATTAAAACAAAATTCTAGAGTATTTAAATTGTAGTACATTTGATTAAATTACTCACTCAAAATGTACTAAGTATAATATATTAAACTTATAAATATTATTTACATTTAAATATTTGTAAAATAATCCAAAATGTGACCAGAAGACAATATTCAGAAAGTATTTCAAAACCCACAAAATAGGCGATTTGATTGACAACGATTATTACTTCTGTAACAATGTAAAAATTCAAACAACTATTCAGAGACTATTTCAAAATGTAGATAGCCTCTCTCAATAAGATTTATTAGAGACTAGGCCTGACACAACATTTAGAAATAGTAGCCTACTTTGACAACAACTCAGTGAATTGGATGTGGTGGCAGACAGGTTGGTGTTACACACCAGATCTGAAGAAAAAAAAAACTCCTACCACTTTTAAAAACAACTCCAAATCCCCTGCCACCGTCACTTTAGGCCCAGGCTGTGTGGCAAAAGGGTGAACGGTGGGACTTGTGGCAGATGCACTTCATGGAAACGTAGGCTCCCCTCTCGGGTGTGCTCTCCCTCTTCCTCTCCCCCTGCTTCCTCCCCCTCTTCCTCCTCCTCTCCCTCTGCTTCCTCCTCTCCATGTTCCTCTCCCCTCACTCCTCTTCACTCTACTTTTCCTCTCTTGCTCCACATCTACAGTGGGGAAAAAAAGTATTTAGTCAGCCACCAATTGTGCAAGTTCTCCCACTTAAAAAGATGAGAGAGGCCTGTAATTTTCATCATAGGTACACGTCAACTATGACAGACAAAATGAGAAAAAAGAATCCAGAAAATCACATTGTAGGATTTTAAATAAATTTATTTGCAAATTATGGTGGAAAATAAGTATTTGGTCAATAACAAAAGTTTCTCAATACTTTGTTATATACCCTTTGTTGGCAATGACACAGGTCAAACGTTTTCTGTAAGTCTTCACACACTGTTGCTGGTATTTTGGCCCATTCCTCCATGCAGATCTCTTCTAGAGCAGTGATGTTTTGGGGCTGTCGCTGGGCAACACAGACTTTCAACTCCCTCCAAAGATTTTCTATGGGGTTGAGATCTGGAGACTGGCTAGGCCACTCCAGGACCTTGAAATGCTTCTTACGAAGCCACTCCTTCGTTGCCCGGGCGGTGTGTTTGGGATCATTGTCATGCTGAAAGACTCAGCCACGTTTCATCTTCAATGCCCTTGCTGATGGAAGGAGGTTTTCACTCAAAATCTCATGATACATGGCCCCATTCATTCTTTCCTTTACACGGATCAGTCGTCCTTGTCCCTTTGCAGAAAAACAGCCCCAAAGCATGATGTTTCCACCCCCATGCTTCACAGTAGGTATGGTGTTCTTTGGATGCAACTCAGCATTCTTTGTCCTCCAAACACGACGAGTTGAGTTTTTACCAAAAAGTTATATTTTGGTTTCATCTGACCATATGACATTCTCCCAATCCTCTTCTGGATCATCCAAATGCACTCTAGCAAACTTCAGACGGGCCTGGACATGTACTGGCTTAAGCAGGGGGACACGTCTTGCACTGCAGGATTTGAGTCCCTGGCGGCGTAGTGTGTTACTGATGGTAGGCTTTGTTACTTTGGTCCCAGCTCTCTGCAGGTCATTCACTAGGTCCCCCTGTGTGGTTCTGGGATTTTTGCTCACCATTCTTGTGATCATTTTGATCCCACGGGGTGAGATCTTGCGTGGAGCCCCAGATCGAGGGAGATTATCAGTGGTCTTGTATGTCTTCCATTTCCTAATAATTGCTCCCACAGTTGATTTCTTCAAACCAAGCTGCTTACCTATTGCAGATTCAGTCTTCCCAGCCTGGTGCAGGTCTACAATTTTGTTTCTGGTGTCCTTTGACAGCTCTTTGGCCTTGGCCATAGTGGAGTTTGGAGTGTGACTGTTTGAGGTTGTGGACAGGTGTATTTTATACTGATAACAAGTTCAAACAGGTGCCATTAATACAGGTAACGAGTGGAGGACAGAGGAGCCTCTTAAAGAAGAAGTTACAGGTCTGTGAGAGCCAGAAATTTTGCTTGTTTGTAGGTGACCAAATACTTATTTTCCACCATAATTTGCAAATAAATTCATAAAAAATCCTACAATGTGATTTTCAGGATTTTCTTTTCTCAATTTGTTTGTCATAGTTGACGTGTACCTATGATGAAAATTACAGGCCTCTCTCATCTTTTT